CTGGCATGGTCTTTGCTGTCCACCAGATACAGGAAAAGTTCAAAGAACAGAGTCGTGACCTGTACATGGCCTTCGTCGATCTAACCAAGGCCTTGGACTTGGTGAACACTGAAGCCCGCTGACGGACCCTCCGGCGGACCCTCAGCCGGTTTGGCTGCTCACCAAAATTCATCGCCATTGTGAGGCAACTCCACAACAGAATGAATGGCAGTGTCCTGTACAATGGCACCCAGTCTGAGTTCTTCCCCATCCAAACGGGGGTAAAACAAGGATGTGTACTGGCGCCAACTCTCTTTTCCATTTTCTTTGCTGCCTTCCTTACTCTTGCTGGTGCCAATTTAGCCGGCGGGGTGGACATAGAGTACAGGATGAAGGATCATTGCAAAATAAGACGACTTCAATTAGTAACAAAGGTATCGGCAACTTCCATTACTGAACTTCAGTATACAGACGAGCTCACCCTTGTCGCTCACACTGAACGCGACCTGCAAGAGATCTTGAACACCTATGCAGATGCGTATGCACACTTCCGCCTTGAGGAGAATGTGCGTGAGAATCAGATTCTCTTTCAGGCGGCCCCTGATTCAGCCACACCACCACCCATCCAGCTTAATGGCATTACTCTCTCTAATGTTACCTACTTTCAGTATCTCGGCTCCCACCTGTCCACCACCGCGGGCATCGATGAAGAGATTCGACATCGGATCAGATGTGCATCTCAAACCTTTGGCAGATTCTGCACCCGTGTCTTCAGCTGTAAGGAGCTGAAATTATCTACAAAGTTGCACGTATATCGAGCAGTGGATCTCCCACCCTGCTATATGGCAGTGAGACATAGGTCACATACCGGCGGCACCTCAAGGCACTTGAAAACTTTCACTAACTTAGTCTTCATTCCATCCTCCGAGTTTGCTGGGAAGACAAGAGAACAAATGCCAGTATTCATGCTGACACCAACTGCAGAAGCATCTAGGCTACCATTATCCATGAACAACTATGCTGGACTGGCCATGTTATTCGCATGGACGACAGTAGACTGCCAAAGCAGCAACTTTACAGTCCCCTAACCAATAGTAAATGCAACGCTGGTGGGGAACTGAAAAGGTAAAATGATAGTCTTAATACAAACCTGAAAAAGTGCAAAATCGGCCCCCTCACCTGGGAGACGATCACTCCACACTGAAACACTTGGAGGATCACCACACGAGAATGTGTCAATACTTTCGAATTAGCCCGACTGCAAACCGAGGTAGACAAGCGAGAGCCCCGGAAAGACGTTGCCGCTGCCATCCACATGTACAACACTTGTGAACGACTCTGCCGGTCCCCTATCGGCCTCTTTAGTCACCGTAAAACTCATCAACCTAGGTGACATTTTTAATAACTCATATAATTGTATCATAGCTGGATGATCGTCAAACTCGATTTCGAGTGATAGCAAAGTAGTAGTAGTAGTGTGTGTGTGTGTGTGTGTGTGTGTGTGTGTGTGTGTGTGTGTGTGTGTGTTGTGTGTGTGTGTGTGTGTGTGTGTGTGTGTGTGTGTGTGTGTGCGCGTGTGTGTGTGTGTGTTTTGTGTGTGTGTGTGTGTGTGTGTGTGAGTGTTTTGTGAGTGTGTGTGTGTGTACAAACACCTGATTCTCTGTGATCTCTAATGGAGTGTACCAGACCACTTGACACATATTGTACGTTTTTAGTAATATACTCATATAATATGAGCTTCCAGACCCTTTATAACTGTTGAAGGTCATTAATATATTATAACCACCAACATCAGTGAGGTTAGGTTAGTTTAGGTTAGGTTAGGTTACATTAAGATGGATTAATTTAGGTTATCTTAGGTGATGCACAACAGCTTATAATCGACATCAACAATAAATTTACGTCATTATTATCTTGTCATTTCAAAATAATGTTTACACACAAAAATACACTGTATATCTGCAGAGGTGTTTGTTGTTACATCCCTACAACGCTCACTTCCTGTCTACCAAACCTCCTCCTCCTCCTCCTTTCTTCTTTCTTTCCTCTTCCTTCCCCCCTTTCTCTTCTTTCTCCTTCCGCTCCTCCTCTTCACTTCCTCATTCCCCATTATCTCCTTCTTCTCCTCCTCCTCCGTCTCCTCCTCCTCCTCCTACTAAGCATCCCTTCATCACCGCCTTGATATCACTGGTCAACATAAAAAAAAATTCTCATGGTTCTGGATCAAAACAGTCTGATTCTAGTGTAATTGTATGTGCTGAACTCAATTATGACATTCGTATAGCTGTATCAGGCCCAGTTTTCCAGAACCAGCATATCTATATATTTAGTGTACCATGCTATTCATACAGTAATTTATATGCTCATTGGCTCCACTTATGCAATTATTTTGTCCTGATTTGTGCTTTTTTGTTTGTTTCGGTTTGCTGATTCATGATATTGCATATCTACACCTGCATGATTTGTAATTACTCTGAAATTAACAAAACATGGAACGTCGCAAGTGTGTGAACGGTGCTGACAGTTTTTGCTACATATGTGGTGCCTTCACTCCTGGTAGCCTCAAGAAACCAATCACAAAAGCTGTTCGACTGAACTACAAAAGTTACTTCAAATGTCATTTGGGTGACCAAGACAAGAAATGGGCACCTCATGTAGCCTGAAGTCTTGTGTTAACCACCTGAGCGAGTGGATGTGTGGTAAACGAAATTCAGAAATGCCGTTTGCTGTACCAATGATACGGCGTGAACCTAAAGACCACAGTAGTGACTGCTACTTCTATCTCACAAATATAAAGGGAATAAAAATCAAGACACGAGGCAAGGTACAGTACCCCAATATTGCTTCTGCAATCCGACCAGTACCGCACAGTGCTGAACTTCCAGTCCCAAATCCACCGACTGAACAAGAATTGAGTGATTCCGATTTTACCTCTACCTCAATGGAAAACGACTACCAGGATGACTCTGAAAATACCAGGCCTAAACTATTTACTCAAGAAGCGCTTCATGATCTCATCAGGGACCTAAACTTGTCAAAAGAAAAGGCTGAAGTTTTGGGATCCAGACTAAAGCAGCGTAACCTGCTAGAAGATGGAGTGCATATCACTACAGCGCGTTACCGACATAGACAGCTGTCTGCATTTTTCAAGATGGCAACAACCTTTGTTATTGCGAGGACGCAGTATCTCTCATGCAACAACTCTGCAAGTCTGAAACGTACAAGACAGAGGATTGGAGGCTGTTTATAGACTCAGGAAAAGACTCTCTGAAAGCTGTTCTTTTACACAATGGCAATCGGCTTCCATCTGTCCCAATAGCACACGCAACAAAAATGACTAAGAGCTATGAAACAATGAAAATTCTGTTGGCCGCTATAGAGTATGAGAAACACCAGTGGAAGATATGTGGCGATCTCAAAGTCATCAGTTTACTACTGGGCCTTCAGAGTGGCTACACAAAGCACATGTGCTTTTTGTGCTTGTGGAACAGCAGAGCTGATGCAGAGCACTATGTGAGAAAGGATTGGCCGACAAGACCAAGAGATGCGCCTGGAAGGTTTAACTGTGCTCACAATCCGCTTGTAGATCCAGAAAAGATATTTTTGCCTCCACTGCATCTAAAGCTCGGTTTGGCTAAAAATTTCATCAAAGCTATGGATCAATTCGGTGCTGGGACTCTATACTTATCTCAGAAACTAGGTGGTGTGGTTTCCGAAGCCAAGTTGAAAGCAGGTGTCTTGAATGGACCACAAATTCGTATACTAGTTAATGATAGCGAATTCACCAAAACATTGAACCCACTGGAGAAAAAAGCATGGGAATCATTTGTCAATGTGTCAAAGAATTTTCTTGGAAACTATCGTGCTGACAACTACAAAGAAATCTTAACAACCATGCTTCAGAATTATCATGCATTGGGAGCAGGGATGTCCTTGAAATTGCATTTTTTCCACTCTCATATTGAATTTTTCCCAGGTAACCTTGGAGACGTTAGTGATGAACACGGCGAAAGATTTCATCAAGATATCGCCATAATGGAGAGCAGATATCAGGGACAATTCAGTCCTAACATGATGGGCGACTATTGCTGGACACTGCAACGAGAAGAGAGCAAGCTGTACAAGAGAAAGAGTAAAGTTCAGAAGCACTTTTAGAACTTCATATTTTGTCATTATAAAGGATTTGAACTTATGTTTTTTGGTACAATTTTTTATGAGCTTATCTGTGATAGGTTTAGAATTGTATCTTGCATGATGCGATAATGTTACTATATTTACTATTTTTTTTATTCTTTAAGAAAGTAGGTCTGATGGTAGAATGAAACATCCAATTAATAATCATTAATATGAAATTAGTCATGAAAGCACAGTCACATGAGATAATCTCATCTTTTGCACGACACGTGATGGAATATTAAATATTTGTACCTATTGATTTTTTTATAAAACCTGGTCTGATAGAACAAAACAAATATCAGATTCGAATTCAGCAATATGAAATTAGTTGTGTGAGCATGATCTCATATGTGAACCATTTTGGCTGTTGACCAGTGTATTCGAAAGGTAAGGTAATTAACCTCGTTAAGGAGAAGGAACGTAGACACATTTTCATCTCCTGAGAAAGTTTTCTCATCACTCAGAAAGGAAGTTCAGGGAGTAAGGGTAAGTAGTCGGGGGCTGATTTACATATGCAAATGACTTTCAGATTCCATTGTAAATAATGAATAACACAGGACACTTAGTGAAACGTCTTTACTTCAAGTGGAAGAGTTGTAGAGCTGAGCGGGAGAGTTGTAGGGCTGAGTGGAGAGTTGTAGGGCTGAGCTTGGGAGAGTTGTAGGAGCTGAGCAGGAGAGTTGTAGGCTGAGCAGGGGAGTTATAGGGCTGAGCGGAAGAGTTGTAGGAGCTGACAGGACAGTTGTAGCAGGGCTGAGCAGGGAGGATTGTAGGGCTGAGCAGGACAGTTGTAGGAGCTGAGCAGGAGAGTTGGCAGGGCCCCAGGCAGGGAGAGTTGTGGGGAGCTAAGCGGGAGGTTGTAGGGCTGACTGGGAGGTTTTAGGGCTGAGCGGGAGAGTTGTAGGGCTGAGCTTGGGGAGGTTGTAGGGCTGAGCGGGAGAGTTGTAGGAGCTGAGCAGGACAGTTGTAGGAGGCTGAGCAGGAGGTTGTAGGGCTGAGCAGGACGGTTGTAGGGCTGAGCAGGGAGAGTTGCAGGAGCTGAGCGGGAGAGTTGTAGGGCTAAGCAGGAGGTTGTAGGAGGGCTGACTGGGAGGTTTAGGGCTGAGCAGGGAGAGTTGTAGGAGGGCTGAGCAGAGGAGAGTTGTAGAGGGCAGGCAGGGGAGGAGTTGTAGGGCTGAGCGTGAGAGTTGTAGGGCTGAGCAGGGAGAGTTGTAGAGGCTGAGGCAGGAGAGTTGTAGGAGCTGAGCAGGAGGATTGTGGGGCTGAGCGGGAGAGTTGTAGGGCTGAGCGGGAAGTTGTAGGATTGAGCAGGAGAGTTGTAGGGCTGAGCGTGAGAGTTGGGGCTGAGCGGGAGGGGTTGTAGGGGCTGAGCGGGAGAGCTGTAGGGAGCTGAGCGGAAGAGTTGTAGGGCTGAGCTTGGGAGTTGGCAAGGAGCTGAGCAGGAGAGTTGTAAGGAGCTGAGCTTGAGGAGAGTTGGCAAGGGCTGAGCAGGGGAGAGTTGGCAGAGCTGAGCAGGGAGGTTGTAGGGAGCTGAGCGTGAGGTTGTAGGGCCCCCAGGCTTGGGAGGTTGTAGGAGGCTGAGCAGGAGAGTTGTAGGAATTTAGACGGAAGAGTTGTAGGGCTGAGCGGGAGGTTGTAGGAGCTGAGCAGGAGGTTGTAGGGCAGGCGGGAGGATTTGTAGGGGCTGAGCAGGAGAGTTGTAGAGGCTGGCGGGAGAGTTGTAGGGCCGAGCGGGAGAGTTGTGGGAGCTTAGCCCAGGGAGGGGTTGTAGGGCTGAGCGGGAGAGTTGTAGGACTGAGCAGGAGAGTTGTAGGAGCTGAGCAGGGAGAGTTGTAGGGCTGAGCAGGAGAGTTGTAGGAGGCTGAGCGGGAGTTGTGGGAGCTGAGCTTGGGAGAATTGTAGGGAAGCTGAGCAGGAGAGTTGTAGGAGCTGAGCAGGAGAGTTGTAGGGCTGAGCAGGAGGTTGTAGGGCCGAACAGGAGAGTTGTAGGGCTTAGCGGGAGAGTTGTAGAGGGCTGAGCAGGAGAGTTGTAGGAGCTGAGCAGGAGTTGTAGGAGCTGAGTAGGAGAGTTGTAGGGGCTGAGCAGGATAGTTGTAGGGCCGAGCTTGGGGAGGTTGGCCAGGAGCTTAGCAGGAGAGTTGTAAGCTGAGGTTGGGAGAGTTGTAGGGCTGAGCGGGAGAGTTGTGTAGGGCTTAGCGAGAGAGTTGTAGGGCTGAGCGGGAGGTTGTAGGGCTGAGCAGGAGGTTGTAGGAGCTGAGCAGGAGAGTTGTAGGAGCCGAGCAGGAGAGTTGTAGGGCTGAGCGGGAGGTTGTAGGAGCTGAGCCGGAGGTTGTAGGGCTGAGCAGGAGAGTTGTAGGGCTGAGGCAGGAAGTTGTAGGGCTGAGCGTGTGAGGATTGTAGGGCTGAGCAGAAGGAGGTTGTAGGGCTGAGCGGGAGAGTTGTAGGGCTAAGCAGGAGAGTTGTAGGGCTGGGCTTGGGAGAGTTGTAGGGCTGAGCGGGAGAGTTGTAGGACTGACTGGGAGAGTTGTAGGCTGAGCTTGGGAGAGAGTTGTAGGGCTGAGCGGGAGAGTTGTAGAGGCTGAGCAGGGGAGAGTTGTAGGGCTGAGCGGGAGAGTTGTAGGACTGACTGGGAGAGTTGTAGGGCGGACTGGGAGAGTTGTAGGGCTGAGCGGGAGAGTTGTAGGGGCTGAGCGGGAGGTTGTAGGAGCTGAGCAGGAGGAGTTGTAGGGCTGAGCAGGAGAGTTGTGGGAGCTGAGCTTGGGAGAGTTGTAGAGACTGACTGGGAGAGTTGTAGGGCGGACTGGGAGGAGAGTTGTAGGCTGAGCTTGGGGAGGTTGTAGGAGCTAAGCAGGGAGAGTTGTAGGGCTGAGCAGGGAGAGTTGTAGGGCTGAGCAGGAGAGTTGTAGGGCTGAGCAGGAGGGGTTGTAGGGGCTGAGCAGGAGTTGTTGGGCTGACTGGGAGAGTTGTAGGATGACTGGGAGAGTTGTGAGGGTTGGCCGGGAGAGTTGTAGGGCTGAGCTTGGGAGAGTTGTAGAGGCTGGCCGGGGAGAGTTACTGGGTTAAGTGGAAGAGTTGTGGGTTGAGTGGGGAAATAACAGCGTTGAGTGGGAGAGTTACTGGGTTGAGTGGAAGAGTTACTGGGTTGGGAGTGGGAGAGTTACTGGGTTGAGTGAAAGAGTTACTGCATTGAGTGGAAGTTACTGGGTTGAGTGGAAGAGTTACTGGGTTGAGTGGGAGGATTACTGGGTTGAGTGGAAGTTACTGGGTTGAGTGGAAAAGTTACTGGGTTGAGTGGGAGAGTTACTGGGTTGATTGGAAGAGTTACTGGGTTAAGGTGGGTGAGTTAGTGGGTTGAGTGGAAGAGTTACTGCGTTGGAGTGGGAGAGTTACCCGGTTGAGTGGAAGAGTTACTGGGTTGAGTGGGAGAGTTACTGGGTTGAGTGGGAGAGTTACTGGGTTGAGTGGAATAGTTACTGGGTTGAGTGGGAGAGTTACTGGGTTGAGTGGGAGAGTTACTACACGTTGAGTGGGAGAAGTTACTGGGTTGAGTGGAAGAGTTACTGGGTTGAGTGGGAAGTTACTGGGTTTGAGTGGGAGAGTTACTGGGTTGAGTGGAAGAGTTACTGGGTTGGTGGGAGGTACTGGGTTGAGTGGAAGAGTTACTGGGTTGAGTGGGAAGAGTTACTGGGTTGAGTGGAAGAGTTACTTGGTTGAGTGGGTGAGTTACTGGGTTGAGTGGAAGAGTTACTGGGTTGAGTGGGAGTTACTGGGTTGAGTGGAAGCGTTACTGCGTTGAGTGGGAGAGTTACTGGCAGGTGGGAGTTAATGGGTTGAGTGGAAGAGTTACTGGGTTGATGGGAGAGTTACTGGGTGGGTGGGAGAGTTACTGGGTTGAGTGGGAGGATTACTGGGTTGAGTGGAAAGTTACTGGGTTGAGGTGGGAGAGTTACTGGGTTGGAGTGGAAGGTTACTGGGTTGTGATGGGAGAGTTTCTCGGTGGGTGGAAGTTACTGGGTTGAGTGGGAGAGTTACTGGGTTGAGTGGAAGAGTTACTGGGTTGAGTGGGAGAGTTACTGGGTTGGAGTGGAAGAGTTACTGGGTTGAGTGGGAGTTACTGGGTTAAGGAGTGGAGAGTTACTGCGTTGAGTGAGAGTTGCACTGGGTTGGAGTGGAAGAGTTACTGGGTTGGAGTGGGGAGAGTTACTGGGTTGAGTGAAGAGTTTACTGTGTTGAGTGGGAGAGTTACTGGGTTGAGTGGGAGGATTACTGGGTTGAGTGGAAGAGTTACTGGGTTGGAGTGGAAGGATTACTGCGTTGGAGTGGGAAAAGTTACTGGGTTGGAGTGGAAGAGTTGCTGGGGTTGGAGTGGGGAGAGTTACTGGGTTGGGTGGGGAGTTACTGGGTTGAGTGGGAGAGTTACTGGGTTAGAGTGAAAGGAGTCCACTGCATTGAGTGGGAGAGTTACAGGGTTGAGTGGAAGAGTTACTGGGTTGAGTGGGAGGATTGGGGATCAGTTACTGGGTTGAGTGGAAGGGTTACTGGGTTGAGTGGGAGTTACTGGGTTGAGTGGAAGAGTTACTGGGTTGAGTGGGAGAGTTACTGGGTTGAGTGGAAGAGTTACTGGGTTGAGTGGGTGAGTTACTGGGTTGAGTGGAAGGGAGTTGCACTGGGTTGAGTGGGAGAGTTACTGGGTTGAGTGGAAGAGTTACTGGGTTGAGTGGAAGTTAATGGGTTGAGTGGGAGAGTTACTGGGTTGTGTGGAAGAGGTTACTGTGTTGAGTGGGAGGGTTACTGGGTTGAGTGGGGAGAGTTACTGGGTTGAGTGGAAGAGTTACTGGGTTGAGTGGGAGAGTAGCTGGGTTGGTGGGAGGATTACTGGGTTGAGTGGGAGGATTACTGGGTTGAGTGGAAGAGTTACTGGGTTGTGAGTGGGAGAGTTACTGGGTTGAGTAGAAGAGTTACTGAGTTTAGTGGGAGTTACTGGGTGGGTGGGAGAGTTACTGGGTTGAGTGGGAGAGTTACTGGGTTGAGTGGAAGGATTACTGGGTTGAGTGGGAGTTACTGGGTTGGTGGAAAAGTTACTGGGTTGAGTGGGAGAGTTACTGGGTTGAGGTGGAAGTTACCACGTTGAGTGGGGAGAGTTACTGGGTTGAGTGGAAAGTTGCTGGGTTGAGTGGGAGGTTACTGGGTTGAGTGGAAGAGTTACTGCGTTGAGTGGGAGGTTAATGGGTTGAGTGGGAGGTTACTGGGTTGAGTGGGAGTTACTGGGTTAGTGGGAAGAGTTACTGGGTTGAGTGGGAGAGTTTCTCGGTGGGTGGGAGGGAGTTACTGGGTTGAGTGGAGAGTTACTGGGTTGAGTGGAAGGAGTTACTGGGTTGGAGTGGGAGAGTTACTGGGTTGAGTGGAAGAGTTACTGGGTTGAGTGGGAGAGTTACTGGGTTTAAGTGGAAGTAGTTACTGCGTTGGTGAGAGAGTTACTGGGTTGAGTGGAAGGTTACTGGGTTGAGTGGGAGAGTTACTGGGTTGAGTGGAAGAGTTACTGTGTTGAGTGGGAGAGTTACTGGGTTGAGTGGGAGTTACTGGGTTGAGTGGAAGAGAGTTACTGGGTTGAGTGGAAGAGTTACTGCGTTGGTGGGAAAAGTTACTGGGTTGAGGTGGAAGAGTTACTGGGTTGAGTGGGGAGAGTTACTGGGTTGAGGTGGGAGTAACTGGGTTGAGTCGGTACTGGAGTTGAGTGGGAGAGTTACTGGGTTGAGTAAAGAGAGTCACTGCATTGAGTGGAAGTTACAGGGTTGGAGTGGAAGAGTTACTGGAGTTGAGTGGAAGAGTTACTGGGTTGAGTGGGAGAGTTTCTCGGTGGGTGGAAGGGTTACTGGGTTGAGTGGGAGAGTTACTGGGTTGGAGGTGGAAGAGTTACTACTGGGTTGGTGGAAGTTACTGGGTTGAGTGGAAGAGGTTACTGGGTTGAGTGGGTGAGTTACTGGGTTGGAGTGGAAGGTTACTGGGTTAGAGTGGGAGGTTGCTGGGTTGAGTTGAAGGTTACTGGGTTGGTGGAAGAGTTAATGGGTTGGAGGTGGGAGTTACTGGGTTGTGTGGAAGAGTTACTGTGTTGAGTGGGAGAGTTACTGGGTTGAGTGGGAGAGTTGCTGGGTTGAGTGGAAGGGATTGCACTGGGTTGAGGTGGGAGGTTACTGGGTTGGTGGGAGAGTTACTGGGTTGAGTGGGAGAGTTACTGGGTTGAGTGGAAGAGTTACTGGGTTGGAGTGGGAGGTTACTGGGTTGAGTAGAAGAGTTACTGAGTTTAGTGGGAGGATTACTGGGTGGGTGGGAGAGTTACTGGGTTAGTGGAGAGTTACTGGGTTGAGTGGAAGAGTTACTGGGTTGAGTGGGGGAGGTTACTGGGTTGGGTGGAAAAGTTACTGGGTTGAGTGGGAGAGTTACTGGGTTGAGTGGAAGAGTTACTGCGTTGAGTGGGTGAGTTACTGGGTTGGAGTGGAAAGTTGCACTGGGTTGAGTGGGAAGTTACTGGGTTGAGTGGAAGAGTTACTGCGTTGAGTGGGAGAGTTAATGGGTTGAGTGGGAGTTACTGGGTTGAGTGGAAGAAGGATTACTGGGTTGAGTGGGAGAGTTACTGGGTGGGTGGGAGAGTTGCTGGGTGGGTGGGAGATTTGCTGGGTGGGTGGGAGAGTTTCTGGGTGGGTGGAAGAGTTTCTGGGTGGGTTAGTAGATGGATGTGAGAGGTTTGTTACAACTCTCGCGTACAATGGATAACCTCAGCATATTTCTAGGAAGAGGCTTGACAGTTCTCTCTCTCTCCCATAAATATATATATATATATATATAAGCAAAGAATACATTGAATTGGAGGATGAAATCCTTGGATAATTCTAAACCACAATGTCTCTATGGTATAATATCAGATTCTGCATAGTTTCCATGTTACAATACATTTAATATGTTGTATTAATGACAGTGAATTTGTAGTGAAACCCGTAGGTTTTTGTAATTATTTATAACCAGATCTCTACAGTGTGACCCCTCTTTGTTACAACCTAAACGAAATGTTCAAAGTTGCCCCCTTAGCCCCCAATGCAAGCCTGTACAGTACACATCGTACCATTGATTGTTTGACGCGTTCCAGATTGCCTGAACTTTGTTTAATTTGCTTGCACCTGTCATGAACGCGTAGGCATATACGGAATCTGACATTTTACCAGAGAGACATTGTGGATTAGAATTATCCAAGGATTTCATCCTCCAATTCAATGTACTCTCTGCTGAATCACCCATATATTTATATATTTAATATATATGCATATATATATATATATATATATATATATATATATATATATATATATATATATATATATATATATTTATATATATATATATATATATATAAACATATAAATATATATTATATATATATATATATATATATATATATATATATATATATATATATATATATATATATATATATATATATATATATATATATATATATATATATATATATATATATATATATATATATATATATATATATATATATATATATATATAAATTTTCAGGTAAATCACTGTAGGTGCGCGTGATCCAGGTTTAGTTTAACAAATTTATTGGCAGAGCTTGTAGAACAGTTTGCCTATTCTGAGTAATTCAGTCAGGTCTTGACACTGAGGGTGGTATCACTTCTCACTGCCACGCAGGACAGAGGTTCATACACAACGAAATACATCATATTCATTAACAGCTATAAATGTATAGAGGTCAGTTTCATATGGGTAATGTCACTGTTCACTGCCATGCAGGACAGAGGTTCGTACACAAAGAAGGAAATACATCATATTCATTAGCAGTATATTATAGATCAGTGGATCACATACATTGGAGGTATATGCTGATAACCACAAGGAAACAAGAAAACACGAAGTTCCCAAGCGCTTTCGTGTAATTCACATCTTCAGGGTGAGTACAGACTGTACTCACCCCTGAAGATGTGAATTACACGAAAGCGCTTGGGAACTTCG